TTCCCGAAGACACTTTTGTGTACGCACGTGTGAGTGTCTATGTGTGTGTGTATGTGAGCGTGCATGCACCCGATCCATTATGTGGTTTGTGTTCCAGCATCAGCATGTGCGTTTGATTCTGTGTCTGCACACACAGGGGAAGTTTCCCTGTGTGTGCACTTAAATGCCTTTTAACTTTTCATGTGTGCATGCATGCATGTCTGTTGTACAGTAAGTGTGTGCATGCATAGGCACATTCTATGGGCGTATGTGCATGTTTGTGAGAAAGTACTTTCAGCCCCCAAGCGTTGCTGCCCATAGACAAAACACAGACTTTGTTTTCTAGCCGAGCCAGACCTGTGAGTCTTGTTTGGGCAGAGCTCCTCTCCTTCAAACCCTATACTGGCTGTCCTCAGATCTTTGTGTGTGTGTTTGTGTGTGTGTGTGTGTGTGTGTGTGTGTGTGTGTGTGTGTGTGTGTGTGTGTGTGTGTGTGTTTGTGTGTGTGTGAAGCACAGTGTGTGTATATGTGTGAGGCACTGGGTGTCAGCTGTCCTGGGTGATTAGTGCTCTTATATTGTTCCAAGGAACCCGGGCGAGGCCCCCTCTTCACTGCAGCACAGCACAGCTGCAGTTGGCCTCTCCATCTCTGCTCTTCAGCCTTCCTCTACTCTCTGACACTCGGGCTCGGGCCCAAGGAAAAAATGAACCCAAAACAGATGCAATACCTAGAGGAAGAGGAACGGGAAAATAAATGTAGTTTGTATAAAAGATGGAATAAAGGAAAGAAAGGAGAGATAAAGAGGGGTGGTGTACTGACAGTTGATGCGGTTTGGAGACGGAAGAAGGCAGAGGGGTAGGAGAGAGGAGTGGACAGGGAGAAGTGGCACATTAGGGGGATTAGAGAGTCGATCCAACGTGCCGACTCCCTCCTGGACAGGATTTCCCCAGCTATGCCTGGGAGGCCTACCCCCTGCTTTTAAACACACAGGCAAGTCAGGACAGAGAGAGAGGTGAAGTTGGTGGAAGAAGAGCGAAAGGCGCCGAGCGGGGGTGGGGAATCGTTATCTTTTCAAGAGTGTTTGTGAACTTGTTTTGATTAGCATAATGAACTAATAAATCCTTGGCCTTCAACAGAGAGCCAGTGTTTCCCCCTAAGACTTGGAAATGAGAGTAACAGAAAAACATTTTTTAATTTTCTCCAACTTGCTTTACAAATGAAAAACAAGTTTGGTATTATTACAATCGGCACTGAAAGCATTATTCCCTGCATGGCAAACATTTTGAACACTCCCCTTTCGGCTAGAGAGCTGTGTCTGTTGCCTTTACGAGTTAAGGACATTTATGTCTACACAAGGAGGAAGAGGAGGAGGGGGCAGGGGCTAGTAGGCATGGGCCAAGAGTCTGCTATGGGAAAAGTATGTCTGCAATGCAAGGGGTGTATGGTGGCGGGATTTGTGGGCCAGAGCATTGTTGCTCTCTTGACATTGAACTTGGGAGATCACAAAGGGGAGGGGGTACCCACCCTGAACATTATAAATGTGTGTATTCGCAAGAACACACACAGGCTAACAATTCTCCACTCCCAACACCCAGCGTCCACCTAACCACCCCCCCCCCCCACCCCCCCCCCCCCCACCCCCC